TTTTTTTGTTTCGTTTTTGTTTTCGAAGTTTTACGAGGAGAAGCGAATTCTCCAAAATTTATGACCAACCATAACTTCTTCAGTGATCTGCAAACCAGCGAAATACTTTTTTTTCCCCCTGCCCCCCCAAATTATCTTGTCCTCGTCGTTTTTTTTTTGGGTTTAAAATTTGGACCATTTCTCGATTTGTACGTGTCATCCCTGCGCAGGGGCCATGCAAATCTTCTCTCTATTTTCCGCAAATTCTCCAAATTTATGACCAACCATATCTTCAGTTACCCTGTAAACCCACAAAATATCTTCCCTTCTAAAATTGTGCATAGTAACGGACAAATTTAGACCAAAATTTCCGAATTTGGTCACGTTTTTGGCCAAAAACGGAAAAAAAACAAGGTTTGTGGTCTACGTGACCAGATCTTCCAACTCTGGCTAGCCACGCGCGAAATGCTTTTTGAAATTTGAATAGACAAGCATATCTACAAATGGACCTTGCCATCAAGCAGCAACAGCAGCAGTCAGCCTGTGCAAGTTTTTAGCTTTTTTAGGAAGTTGTTTTAGCTTTTTTAGGAAATTGTTTTTAGCTTTTTTAGGAAATTTTGGCTTGTTTGTCCGTGAACAGAGTGTCAGTGTGTGTGTGTGTGTGTGTGTGTGTGTGTGTGTGTGTGTGTGTGTGTGTGTGTGTGTGTGTGAGTCGATCTATGCCTCTCTACCCGTAGCTCAATGACGTTGTGTGCAAGCTTTTAGCTCTTTTAGGAAACTTTGGCTTGTTTGTCCTTCACTAGAGTGCGAGTGTGAGTTGGACCATGCCCTCTACCCGTAGCTGAATGACGTTGTCATGTCTCTCTCTCTCTCTCACACACACACACACACACACACATGCACACGCACATACACACGCACACCCCTCTGATGAGTCTGTGAAAGTTCGATGAAAGAACGTGTGGTACAGTCATGCTTTTTTTTGTGCAGTTGTGTATAGCCGAATATGACAAAACACATGCAAACGCACAAACACACAAACACACCCCTAAGCCATTTTCCCATCTAGGTACATATTCTCCGTGTCCTTTCCTCTGTGTCCTTTCTGCTAACCAAACTTAGCCCCTATCCCAGAAGGCTGGAAGGAGTTGTTGAGCGAAGCCTCAACCTGGAAAATCTGGTGAATGGGGAGTGGGGGTGCAGTATTTAACCTCCGCAAGGGGTTATCAATTCTCCCATAAACAGCAAGGGTCGGATACCCTGGCTGTGTTTACCTCTTTCCCAATTACCCCCTCCATGCAAGGCCTCCCAGCTATCCTAAGTAAGGGGGTGGAAAGAACAGTCCTAAACCCTTTTGTTCTCAGAAAAGTAAAGAGCGTTGGGATCATGGCCAAAAACAATCTTCAGAATTGATACAGCGAGCGATTCAAGACTTGGAATTTGATCCAGCAGAGTGAGTGGGCTTGGACAGATGCACCAGATAAAAAAGCAGCAGGCTCAAAACGAATGTCCAAAAAACGTAGCTTGTCCTTTTTCATGCAAGTCTCTGATGAAATTTTCTGAAGGTATTTGTTATGGGACGCTGGGCCTGGTTCCCAGTTCGTGCCAATTTGTGAGGTAATGTTTGTATCTATGGGACGCTGGACCCGGTTTCCAGCAGGTGCTGCTCCCCACCAATAGATGGAGCTTGTCTTTAAAAAAAAAGAAGTGCCCATTCAGAATATAGAGCAGCAGTCTCAAAACGATCAAGAACAGCAGATGGCAGAAGTGTTATGAGGTCAGGACGCTACCGTCTTCACCCGAATAGAACGCCCGGTCATTATTGCTGCATCTGGACCGAAAGTTGTGCCAAATACAGCTAGAATGACCGGGCGTTATATGCGGGTGAAGATGGTAGTCAGATACCACAAATCAAATACCATGGAAAAAATTCAAATCAATCCGTCCGGTCAAAATCAAAATCAGTAGCCTCCCTCCAATGGCTCATCTCATACGTGGCTCTACCGGTTAACCAGTGGGTGCATATCAGAAGAAATAAGAATGACCCCAACAGTTGAGACTTATGTGCGGTATGTTCAGAAAATGAACCAGAAGATATGCTACATTGCCTGATACACTGCAGAGAGGCGACGGAATACTGGGCGAGGGCCTCGGATCTCTGGGATTCCCTCTTTTCTTATCGACTCCCCTGCCTGAAACACCCCATCGAACTCCTTCTATCGAACCTGAGTACCTTCGGAGGCTTGTGAGAATTATTCCGCCTCAGTTGTCCGCTACAGTTTTCACCCGAATACTACGCCTGGTCATTATAGCTGCATTTTCCCCAACTTTCAGTCCAGATGCAGCGATAATGACCGGGGGCGTTCTATTGGGGCAAAGACGGTAGTCAAGTGAACTAGTATCATTCCAGCTCAAATTCCACAAGACACAGAAAACGTGTTTTGGAATGATCAGAAAGGTAACGCTGTGGTCTATCTGGAAGGGGAAAGGTGCTGCAGAAGTATTGAGGGAGGGACTCATCTCAACTCCAAGGGAGAAAGAAGGTATGGGGGGGAGACAAGGAAGGACCTTGATTGGGGCAGAGATTCTTTATAAGTGGGGCATAAGACGAGACAGTCCATGCCAGATGATGAAGAGCAACAGTGAAGAATCTAAGGCAAAATTCACTAAGGTGTGGCTCGCAGGGGGCAAAGTAGCAGAGATAAATGACCTTCGCATACGACGGTGGAAAGACTGGCACAACTCAGAAGCAGGGGGGAGGAGGCAGAGATCCCAGGCAGCAGATGGACAAGATCCATCACAGGCCACTTGATATTGAAGGGCAAACTCCGAGATTGCATCATCTGTAGCTTCTTTGACGTTTCTTGCTCTCTTTACTATTCATCTGACAGGTTCATGATGTGGACCTGAGAGGAAAGGTGGAAGAATAAGGCAAACTGACAGTCAATCCCCTCCACGATGCTGGAGTTATGAATGCTGGTCAGGGTTCCTTTGGCCAGACGGATGGAAGCGTGAGAGTGTTTTTTGATGATGTAGCATTTTATTCTGACTTGCCGGTGGAATAGGAACCGGACTGATGCTCCCCAGAATGGAAATGGAGCCAGGGCCACGCGGACCTGTTTTTTTTTTTTTTAAGAGGGAAAAAATAAAAGTAAATTCAGTGTTTATTGTGAGCACGAAGGTACATTTTGGTAATTGTACAGCTACCTGCTGAAATCTCTGTGGGAAAAAAAAAGAAGAATTCTCTGTGGGCAAAAAAAAGAAGAAATCTCTGTGTGAAAAGAAGAAGAAGAAGTGCCTCTGTGTCGTTTATTGATAGGGGAGAGTCCGTCAGGATTAGGTTAGGGGAACGGCGGGAGCGCAGCCGGAAAGCTAGGGTTATGGGCGAGATTAATAAAATGGGGTGAGTTGGCAATAGAGGGGATGGGGATGGGGATCGCATTCGGTGATGGTGATACAGAGGTGCAGCGCTGGTCACGCACCATGAGTTCACGAAAGTGGGCTGGGCGGCTGAGAACTGACTCGCACTGGTTTTCCTGGATGCATCTGAACGGAATTTCGGCCAAATTCGTTTTGGACTCTACGCTAATTGTGAGTGTAGCCGGAGTAAGATATGACAACCACCTAAACACCCGGTTCTTTTCTTAATCTTTTATTAATAATTTGCTTTTTTTCATAAACACGCGGGTATCATCAACGTATGGTCCAGCAAAGCAGGTTGGTGGGCGCTGTACGGAGCTGTGAAATCATGACCAGGTACTGCTGAGGGCATACTCGGTCTGCGGCTTACAGCTCAGTGCATACACCCTCTGTGTTTTTTTCCGCGGATGCATTTGACTGTGGCTACGGCTAGATTCGTTTCCAAACGTCTGCGTTTTATTATCCTATAGAATATGTAGGGGGCATATGTTGTCAGACTTTGACATCAGGGCCGGGCAACAGCCCAAAAAAATGCAAAGACCGAAAAAATTAGAAACTGATGATGAGAGATTGGGCCTCGTCCCACTACTCAGCACTCTATATGCATTTGGACGCCTTCCTGTACCAGGTTCGTTTGGAGGAGTCCAACATCTGGAATGTCTCGGGACGGTTATGAGGTCCAGATGCATATAGAGTGTTGTGTGGTGGAGCGAGGCCAATTGTTTCATGGGAGTTGCACCAACTTGTCAGGAGGCTGAACCCTCGACAATCTGCGAAATGCCTGTATTGATGCTTTTTGGGTTATGAACCTCTTGACCCTTGTCGAAGGCAGACTGTCCACCCACAAACGGAGCATAGCAGTGGGCAAGAAGTCAGTGGCGACTCACGACTCCACAATGTCAAAAAAAGCAACTGAGCAAGTGGACGAGCGGCGTGGCAACAGCGCAGTGAAGCACAAGGCAACACCAACACAGCAACCAACAGCAACCAACAGCAACCAACAGCAACCAACAGCAACCAGCAGCAACGGCAACCAACAGCAACCAACAGCAACCAACAGCAACCAACAGCAACCAACAGCAACCAACAGCTTCCACTTGCCGTGTTCTCCATGCAGCAACCAACAGCAACCAACAGCAACCAACAGCTTCCACTTGCCGTGTTCTCCATGCAGCAACCAACAGCAACCAACAGCAACCAACAGCAACCAACAGCAACCATCAGCAACCAACAGCAACCTACAGCTTCACGGCACACAGCAACCACACACGCAGTGAAGCTCTTTTGTGTGTGCGGTTGCTGTGTGTGGTTGCTGTGTGTGGTTGCTGTGTAGGAAGGAGCACGGCACACAGTGACTTCACGGCAGGCAAGCAGAGGAGCACGGAAGGCAAGGCAGGCAGATGGGCAGCGACACAGCAGCCCAGAAAAGCTCAAGGAAATACCAGCAACGCAGCCACACCACACGGCGAGCATAGCAGCTGCAAAGAACAACATGCGAAGGCAGCAAGGCCCGCAGCAAGGCGGGCAGCAGAGTGCAGACAGGGAAGTCTACACATTCAACATGGAGCAAAGCGGCACATCACCTAGTCACTTCACAAGTGAACCCCGCAGATTGTTGGTTCCCACCACCTGCTGAGCCAGGAAGGCACTCTGATGGACGTTTATCATCACCCATAGGCCATATGCACAACTCAGACATCACAGACAGAGCACCCTTTAAGAGTCCTGCAGGCACTCCAAACACCCGGCCACGGAGTGTTTAGCACTTCTTGAAGGTGCTTACCTAGACATGCAAAAGGTAGAATAAATAAAGAAAGAGGAAATATGTACATACATAAGAATGCTTGTGTGTGTGTGTGTGTGTGTGTTTTGTGTGTGTTTTGTGTGTGTGTGTGCGTGTGTGTKTTKTGTGTGTGTGTGTGTGTGTGTGTGTGTGTGTGTGTGTGTGTGTGTGTGTGTGTGTGTGTGTGTGTTGTGTTTCGCTTATTGCTGGCRMRG